CCAACGATATACCAAATATTTTATCAAATTTGAGTAAAAAAAACACAAATTTCCTATCTGATATCAGTCACTCCAATAGTGAATTTGTGACTGTCATCAAAACACGTCGTCCAGGGAGTCAATCGACTGGTTGACCGGCAAGAGCAAATGAAAAAAAAAAAAAAAAAATTGCAACAAAGGTAGTGTACTCCCAACTTCAAGCCATCAGATTAAGTTGACAAAATGCAACATTTTTTAATTAAGAGAATAAATTGGTATGAATGATAGCTTGAGAAGTTTCTGGTGCAGATGGTGGTTGAAGACTATAGATTGTGAAGATGGTGGCAAGACTATTGTGAAAGAGATGCTTCTTTATGAAGTTGATTCAATTATATTGAATTTGTTGAAAGAGTGGATTCAAGAGAGGTTGAAGAAAGGGAAAAAGTTCTCCAAAAAGCAAAAGAAACTGAGGTATGTTTTTTGATTTGTTTCTGCTAGATTTAGGCAACTCTATTAAGTTGCAAAGAAAATTTACAGGAAAATTTTCTTGAGAAAAATGAGCTAAAAGGAAATGTAAGGAAAATAAAATATACTGATGAAAAATGCTTCCTACAAAAAAATTGATACACATTTTTCTGCAAGATCAGAACACATGAAAGAAAGGAAAGCAACTTTTACAAAGATATGATATCGAAAGTAGTTTTTGAGAGTAACAGAATTGAAATTTGTGTTGGCAGACATGGAACCTAAAATCCAAAACAGAGCCATATGCACAATCAGTGAGGGAGATAATGAAAGTTGCCAAAGAAACAGTGGATTCATTCTTTGAAATTCCATTAGGAATGTCTGAGGATTTAGTTCATGAGCTTGCTGATGGCTTCGAATATCTCATCCGGGAGTATACTACCTTTGTTGAAGAGAAAAATGGCAGATGAGAAATAATAAGATTTGAGAGGGAGATTTATATCGAACAAGTGGGTTGAGATACGGCAGCACGGAATATGGTGTTGGGCCATGTGAGGGCCGAAGATGCTGTGCCTGGCCGAACTGCACCAACACAGCGCTTTGACCCGTTACGTTGGGCCGACCTGGGGGTCGCCCAGATTATGGAAGCATGCAGGTGTTTAGCCGAATTAGGACGTGGAACCGGATAATATTTGATTAGGTTTACACAGATGTGTTGGGCCGAGCTATGGATGGTTCGGACTGATGTGGGGATTGAAATGGCCCACGAAATCGCTATGTGAGGCCGAGATGCCGAACGGCACGCCCACGTCTAGTCGGTTCGGGTGGACCCGTTTGGTTTTGCTTGGCAGTGCCTATCCCTCATAACGTTTATGTTTCACCAAATAATAGCTCGATTTAATATTCCACGTGGACCAATTATAAAGAGAAGAGAATCTACTACTGGGATGCATCAATACCATTTGGCGATGCGACAAACACTGTTTAAAGGTTTTAGTCTCTACACGTGTAAGAAATGTAGAGGGAAGCATAGCTGCCTGTCTAGAGAAAGACAACAGAGGTAGTGCACCCACAATCTCTAAGGCTGCATGGCCAATCTTGAAAAGAAGGAGCATGCAACCGTTAGAGGTAAGCCATTTTTTACATACTCTCTCTCTCTTGAAAGTGCCCTGCCTTTGCTCTTCTTCTCTAAGTGTTCTAACTTGATCGTCGGAGGGTTTATCCGGCAGCATACCGCCGAGTAGCTCACAGTCTTTCTGTTCTCAGGTTGAACGACGTTACGCAAGGCTTAGACTAAAGGAGTACGGAGAACGACGAATATTTCGTCCCCGTACAAGATTAAAGACTGGAATGAAAATCCCTTGATTTTTGGGCTACCAATGCTTTAATTGAATGAATGAAGAAGCACAATGAGTCCAAAATTATAGAGAGAGAGAGAGAGAGAGAGAGAGAGAACAAAGAACGACGAGAGGGTAGAGACAAATTTGCTTCAGAAGCAAACAACTTTGGAATCCTATTGACAGTCCAAACCATTGCTCTATTGTGAGAATTGTTCAAGTAACAAGATGACCAGGAGGACAACCAGCCGAATGTTCGACCGGTCATCCTGTGTGTACCATCCGCAACGATCCTACACAGTGTTTTGGTAAAAAGTGCCCTAGATCCTCAGTTTGGTGAAACATTTGTTATTTTCTCAATTTGATGAAACCAATGAAGCACAAACAAAGAGATTTGGTGCAGCGTTACAGACAGCCTAACAAAATCTTAAATTTTAAAAATTATTAAAAATCTTTAAATAATAAATATATCTAATTTAACGATTATATTAAAAATAAAATTTATTATAATCAAGATAAATTGATACAACATTAAATATATTTGTTAACATTAACAACATATTTAATATAATCAAATTATATGTATTTATTATTTAAATATTTTAATAAAATTTCAAGTTGCACACAATAATGTATAATTAATATTTTATATAAAATTGTAAAATTTTGTTAATGCATACCCTTAAGAGGCATCTTAAGAAAACTTTAAAATTTTCATACACAATATATAATATTTTAAGCTTTTTAACATGTGCCCTAAAGACACACATTAATAAAATCTAATATTTTATATGCATGAAAATATTCATTATTTATGATTTAATAATTTTTAAAACCCATTAAATAAAATAAAACTTAATTCATTACTAATTTACCATGTAAAACCTCTTCACTACTTATTTTCCATCTAATTGAGAATTTAAATTTGAATAGAAGTATGATTTGATATGAACTAATCATGTTCTTTCATCAAAATCCTTTTAAATAATCCTTCTTATCCAAAATTTCTGTTTTCATAAAATTTAATGAAAAAATTTCAATCTTCAATCCTTTATTTTTATAAATTTTCATCAAACTCAAATTTAATTATCAATTTGATAAAAATATATATATCTCTCTCTCTCTTAATTCGATAACTAATTGATAAAAGGATTGAGGACAATTTTAAGTACTATAGATTGGAGATATCTAACAATAATGCTAGACTAATCATATTTTTATATAATAAGATTTAAATGTGGAAAAAAAAAACATACAATTGAAGAGAAGTAAAAAAATTGAAAATGGAAAAAAAATGTATGTTCCCTCAGAAAAACAAGTAAATAAGGATTCAATCACAGATTGATCAGAATTAGCATGGTCATCAGACTTACAAACATCACAGGGAACATTAAAAAGATCAAACCCTTATTTTTCTAATCACAAAAATTATAGTAATAAATCAAAATTAAAATTAAAATTAAATAAAATAATAATATAAAAAAAAGTTATGAAGCTCAGATAGATGTTGGATAGAGTCTATTCCCAGGCCTTAGTCTCTAAAAACAAGGCCTCATAATGAGCTGGGATTAACATTTATCATCATCGCACCATCGTACTTTTTAGATCTCGAATTTCACAAATTAATTACTAAAAACACAATGTGAATAAACTAAAGATACAATTTTTTTACACAAATTCTCACTTTTCTTTCATTTCCTCACAAAGTCGAAGATCCAAATTCAAATCAATATACATATCTACGCCGTTCATATATATATATATATATATAAATAGAGAGAGAGAGAGAAAGAGAGACGTGGGCTAAAATTTGACTTATACAGGGCTAAAATTTGACTTATATATACATATCTACGCCGTTCATATATATATATATATATATATAAATAGAGAGAGAGAGAGAAAGAGAGACGTGGGCTAAAATTTGACTTATACAGAGGCAAGAGGTGAGTGAAAGGTTTGAAGTCTGCAGAAAATTATATAAAGAGATAGATTGGCTAGGGCTAGGGTTAGGGATTAAAATGGGGACGTCGAATCTGTGATTTTACATATATGGCCTTGGAGGTTTAGTTTAATTACTGGACTGGGATTAGCGCAACTCTCTTAATGGAAAAGTTAGGCCTGTTATGGGTTGGGTACAAGTTTAGGCCGTAAGAGTCTGGACTTGAGCAAGCCTGTTGAGACTCGATCTTTTTTTGGGGCTAAGGCTTCGCTTGGTTTGCTTTGAAAGCCGACTTTTTAATGGGCTTTGTTTGTCCCACTGAAATACAAAATAATGTGCTTTTTAAAACCTGTTACGGGGGCTTTCAGTGTGGGTTTTTGACTTTTTATAACTAAAGCCTCGTTTGACAACATCAGTTTTTAGCTTAAAAGTCAAAAAATTAATAAAAAAAATTAAAAAGTCAACAACTTATACTAAAAACTTAAAGATTTCATTTTCTTTCCACTTTTTACAATCTTTTCGTAAAAAATTAAAAAACCATCCTAAATATACTAGTTTTTTTTACATAATATTTTAGCCAAAAAACTAAAAAGTTACTAAAAAATTCTATTCCCAAATGAGGCCTAAAACCTAGTAAAAAGGAGTCATTCTACTTACACTACAAATCTAACCCTAAAATTCAAAAATCTTTTTTATTTTATTTTGGCATAATTTCTAACAATATTGTATAGGACAGAATGTTGCGCAACTAAGAAACAACATGTAAATAAGATGAGTATTACTGAGATGAGAATGCTAAGGTGAATGTGTGACAAGACTAGAAAAGATTAGAATAAATATATTTGTGAATGGGTAGGAGTAATATTGATAAAATATAAACTGAGAGAGAATAGACTGAGATGGTTTGTTTATATACACACTACAACATATAAGACTTTTAGCGACCAATTATTTTGGTCTCTAAATGGTTTTTGTGACAAAATTAAATGTCATTAAAAAAGTTACTAAAAGTGTGTCTAGAAAAGTCTTTAGCGACGAATTTTTGAAAGTGTTGCTAAAAATGACAATTAGTGACTAGTTTTATATTGTCACAAAATGTTTGATTTTACAAGACTAAACATTTGGTCGCTAATACTTCGTCACAAAATGTCCCAATTTGGTTGTGCAAAACAAAATAATGACATTTTTAACGACAATGATTGGTGGTTAAAAGCTGATACAATCATATTAATTAAGTTGATACAATCAAATTATAATTAAGCTTCAAAAACACTCACAGGTAAAACTTTCAGAGTGCATTTCATAATATTTGGATCGGCAATCCTTCCTTGACTAGGTGCCTGCACCCAAAAAAAATGCAAATTCAATGATTGGTGGTTAAAAGCTGCAAGAAAACAGAGTTGACATGGATCTGAACAAAAATAATTCACAGTTGCATAAATACTTTGGCAGTAAAAGTCCGAAAGAAGAAGAGAACACAATATTCAGATTAAGTCTAGTAGGCCTCGAGAAATGAAGACTTTATAGTTTGTTTTCCACAAGGCACAAATCAATCATCTAAACTGAAATTATTACATAAATTGGAGCTCTGTCAGAGGTAGAAAAACATAAAAGAACAAAGGACTATTATATGCTTGCAATGATACATATACATTCATAACCGCATTGCCAGGGAAAGGGGTGTTGTTGCATTCAGAAGAGAGAAACTAATAAAGCAATACAAAAACCATTCATTCAAAAGAATTTGAAAAAATATATAAAAAATTACTCATTTTAAAGACATGTAAAACAAACAAGTACTTAAGACTTGATTTCAACGGTTCTCGTTCTTTTAAAATAAATACAAGGAGCAGTGGCAGAGTTTCTATCCGAATAAGAGATCCTAGGTTATATCCTCCTCAATTGATCAGAGTCCCCTTAGATTGTAATAAAGAAGCTTTCTTCTTTAGCAATTTTACACAAGAAGTTAAACCATACTAAAAATTTCAGAATGCTAGACACTCTCAATAAAAGAGTTTTGTCGCCTAACTTATAACCAAATCTTATTACAACCCTATAATTTAGTATCTGTGCAAAAGAAACCACTCATATAAAGGGCACAAGGTGGAAATCTAATCTAGAATGACAGCATATATAACACAAAAATACAGATTCAAAATAGTAAACGAACAGGTGCAAGAAAATTTCTAATATATCAGATAGATTAATCCCATATAGTTGTATTACAGACCTATGGTTGTAAAGAGATCAAACAATTGAAAATAACAATGTTTTGGCACAGTAAGGAAATACCATCCATGTCATATGGGGTGGAAGGAATTGCAAGTAACAAAATGAAGCAGCAGTCAATCCTGCACACAACAACAACAACAACCACACACAAAAAAAAAAAAAAAAAAAGAAAAAGGACAAATGATAAGCAAGCAATCTAAACAAGAGAAGAATACATTGGTAAGGGAAGATTCTATCCACAAATCACAGACCTATAACACCTGAAGCAAATACATTGGGGATTGAAACATTTGTGTAGATTTTCAACTGTCATAACTACCACCTTCGGTTCAAACTCATTAGAGAGACGAATGTTTGAAGACTTGACATCTCTGTGAATGACCGGCCGAAAACATTCATTGTGCAAGTAATTTAGGGCTTCAACAATTTCAACAGCTGGTTTGAATCTCAATTCCCATGACAATACAGCTGTTTCTTTGCTATTACCTATCTCAGAGATCAACCAATTAGCATAAATTTCCCATCCATCCTTAAGTAGGCCTGTCAATCCGAATCCGATATTGGTCATAAAAACAATCCAAACCCAAAATCGATCCAATTCTGACAAATCTGATAAAAAAATTATCTGAACAGAATTTTTGTTAATGGATTCGGCTTTTAGATTAAATCCAATCAGTTGACAGGCCTATTACATAGTAATGGGAAGAAGAATATCTCCAGAGAAGATTTACCATGTAGGTTTTCTTCTAGATTTCCTCCAGACAAGAAATCATAAACAGATATTAGTTCATTGTCTTCAACACAAATCCCAAGCAGAGGAGTGATGTTTTTATGCTTCAATGAGCTCATGAAATTTCTTGTGTTTCTGGACAGGACTATTGAAACTATCATTTCTCGAATTGCAAATCACTTCATGACTGTGTCTTGGAGTCTCCGAAGGCTCAGAATCACCAAATTCAGACTGGTTATCTAGTAGTGATTGATCTCAAACAAGGTAACTTGGCTTCGGATCTCCTTTGCAACGTAACATAATCCAAAACAAATTCAAGAATCGTTTAGACTACGTGCATCTTACTCTTCTCAAATCCCATTTTAACAGAAGTCTCGTGCTTTTTTTTAAGTAGCTTTTTAAGAGAGAAAAATTGTACCTAGAAGGCAGTTACTGGAAGACCTTCTGTAAACAACCTTGCCATTGTAGGATTCAACATCATCTTAATTTGTATGATAATTATATTATCACAATATCTTTAATTAAGCAATATAGGGCACACTTAACAAGATTAAAAGGTTTCTTGATCCTTCAGCAACGTCAATGTCCAACAGACCATATACTCTAGAGAAATACATGTCAATATCTTATCTTGGTTTTTGGCTTCATTCTTTCTTTTGGGCCCATGAAAATCTATGCACATTACGATGTACATAAAGTTCCATGAATAATGTCAAACCAAGTGAACAGGTCATACCAATCACTTTTGCAGATAAAAAGTAAAGAATATAAAACATAAAATTAGCTAAAAATATATCAATACTATAAAAATTGAACAATAATTAGATAAACATCTCACAGCAAAGCGATAAGGCTTGTCGAGTTGATTTTTAAGAATTTTTATTAAAACTTGTTCTTATGTTTTTTATGGTTTTGCTAACAATAACACTATTATAGATAGCAAATTATTTTAATTTTATGTTGATGGAAGAGGATTTTCATTTTCTGATTAATTTTGTTTTTCTTCAATTTTCCTGTGTTTTCTCGGTAACCAAACAGAGCTTCTTTATCTGCTAGATTAGGCACATGAGGGTATATAACAACTAAAGCTGTGACTATAAGTAATAGGGTAATTCGAATCCAATTTTTGAATGAACACAGAGGAGTATATATATAGATATGTACATGTATATATGCTGTGTCTGTGGAGAGAGAGAGAGAGATTGAAAACACACCAAATCGCTATTGAATCCAAATCACTACGATCTCTGTTAGAAACCAAATCAATTTACTCAAACTCATATATATCTACAAAAAATTTAAAGAAGACGAAGAATAAATGATAATATAAGATCTCAGAATAAGTGTATATGTGTGTGTGTGTTTGTGTGAAGCTAAAAAAAAAAAGGTAGAAAATCTCAGAAAATTGTGCATCAAGATGAAAATTGTGCATCAATATCAAGATGAAGAATCAAACCACTGCTTAGGAATGGCCCGGGCCGGGGCCGGGGATCATACTCCCCGTCCCCGGTCCCCGATGGTAACAATGTCCCCGTCCCCGGCCCCGATCCTCGACGGGGGACCTATCACCATCCCCACCCCCGTCCTCTAACGGGGATCAGGTATCCCCGACCCCGAAATTCCCCGCTCAAAAGAAAAAAAAAAAGAGAAACCGAGGTCGTCGGATCGACATCAACACATCAACATCAACAACAACTACAACTACAATTTGTTTCATCTGATCATCATCAACATCAACAACAAACAGTGAGATAAAGAGAGATAAACAGCATTGAGATAAAGAGAGACATCAACAAACAGAGAGATAAATAGCTATGAAACTCAGATCTCGGATAGATTTGCTTCGTCTTCACCTTCTCCAAGAGTGCTCGGAACTGAGAGAAAAAGGGGCAGCAATGGAGAAGTTGTAGACGATGGTAGCGGGATCGCCTTTGAAGACCACGGTGGTGGCGGGATCGCCTTTGGAGACCACGGTGATAGAGGAAAAAGTAGATTGGTGGAGTGAAGGGGGGAGAGAGAGAGAGAGACGCTGAGAGAGGAGATTGGTGGCGAGTGAAGAAGATCGGCGGTGGAGGGAAGGGAGGGAGGCAGGGGTAGAGAGAATGAGTGAGGGAGAGAAATGAATCACCAGTGAGGCTGAAATGAAAAACGAGATTCAACCCTAAACACACACACATACATGTATATATATATATATATATACGGGGATGCTCGGGCATTACTCGGGGCGGGGCCGGGCAACCTATTCCTGTTCCCGACCTGAAATTATCGGAAATTTAATTTTTAATACCATTTTCAGTTTTATGGCATCTCCAACGGTAGTAGGCATTTTACCTATCTAAATATTACTATAAAGTATATATTTTATTTTGCCTATCAACTGTTTTATGTTTTTACTCCAACCATGCTCTTTATTTTAGCTATTTATCCAAATACTATTAATTTTATAGAATGCCACATCAACAACAAAGATGGAGGGAAATGATCCTAATGATTGAATACATTTTGCCTAGCGTTGAAGGCTAGCTACATGTAGCTAGTGAATATGAGTTGAGCTAAAATGCCTAATCATATGCCTAGTGCATTAGAGTTGAAAAAAGTGAATCACACTAGGCATTTTAACTAACAAGTATTATATACCTACATGAAATCGTTGACAGGCAAAATAAAATGTATACTTTATAGTAATATTTAGATAGGTAAAATGCCTACTACCATTGGAGATGCTCTTATATACCTAGTGCATTGGAGATGCTCTAAGTTTTTGGAGAAAATCCATTTTAATTGGGGTCAGATTTTTGTCGGGCCGGGTTCAAATTGTCATCCTGAATTAAAATCTTATATTTATTTATTTTTTAAAATTTTTTGAAGACTAACCATCAAAATGTATTAGATAAAACTCTTTAGTACAGCTTATGTGCTTGTTGGATTACATTCCTTCCTACCTTAAACATTCTTCGGATCTGTCTTTTATTCTGATCTATTATAGGAACATGATTTTTTGAAGATTTTTTTTTTTTTAAGGAGGTATAGTTCATAATTTTTGATTTGTTTATTATTTAGGTATATTTTGAACGTAATTTGAAAAAAAAAATATAAAATATATTAAGAATAAATTATAACCTTAAATATTTTAATAAAATATACTAAAAAATTAAACATATTTAATATTTTTTAAATACAAATAGAATCCCCGTCTTCAAAATGTCCAATTTGAAAAACTATTAAAGCAAATCAACAGGATCTTCTCCGCTGGCTTCATATTTTTCTAATGTTTGTTATCATGAAAAAAAAAAAAAAAAAAAAAAAAAAAGAAGAAGAAGAAGTTAACAAAAAATATTTGTAATAATCAATCAAAAAATTAATTGGACGAAAAGTATTTTGTACGTTTTAGTCTTTTTAGAAATTTTCTTTTACCCTTTTAGTTTTTAAAAAAGTTAATACATTAGGAAAGTTGTTAATTTTTTTTTTTTTTTTTTTTTGTGGGGGAAAAAAAAAAAAAAAAAAAAAAAAAAAAAAAAAAAAAAAAAAAAAAAAAGAAAAAGAAGAAGAAGAAGAAGAAGAAGAATTCAATATATAAATTTTTTCCTGATGCTTATATTTGTAATTGTGCAGGATTTTTTTTTTTTTTTTTTTTTTTTTTGAAGATTTCATAATTTTTTTTAGATCTCAATCATTGATAGTGTAAGTTCCACACATATATGAGTCAGTCTTATATATACATCAATTATTGAGATCTAAAAGGGATTATGAGCATTCCTAAAAAAAAAAGAATCCCAAATATTTTTCCAAACAACTTTAGAAACTTTTAAATTTTTTAAACAAAAATAACGTTTTTTTAATGGCATGCCAACACGCCCATAGTCCCACCAAACCTAGACAAAAAACCAAAAATAGACCTAACCCGATATCAGTGGTCATTTGTTGCTTCCATGTGACATTTGTGATCAGTTTAGGTATCTATCTATATCTATCAAATCTATTTATATTATTATTAAGTAAATATTAGATTTAGTGTCAAAGTCTTCGTATCACATGATAGTTTTGTTTAATTTAAAATAAAAAATTATTATTTAGGAAAAATTACATATATCCGTCGAAGTTTAGCTAAATTACAGATATCCCTGAGGTTTTAAAAATTACAAATTTCTCCTTGAATGCTATAGTTGCATAACAAATTAGAGGGTAATTTGTTATGAAATACAAACCTCAAGGGGCAAATTGTTACGAAAATACAAACCTCGGGGGACGGGATGTAATTTTCGAAACTTCAGAGGGCTATCTGTAATTTAACTAAATCTCGAGGGAGGTATATGTAATTTGTCCTATTATTTAAAAGCCTGTCACGTGACAGTTTTATTTAGTTTAAAATAAAAAAGTATTATTTAAAAGCGTAAGTAAAATTTGAAAGTAAGATCTTAAATTTCATTAAAAATATTCTTACCACTTAAACAATATATATATTATAATATTAATTTTTTTTATTATTTGTTTTATATCCACATATATATCTCGCAAAAACTAAGGTGTATGAAAGTTTTATGCCAAATTATGTTTCCCTTTGGGGAGTTATATATTGAAAACTTTCTGTGTTTGGGGCTTAAGACCATCAGTTTTACTTTTTGTATTATTTTGGCGCTGTTTAGGAAAAGCCTAAAGAGGTTATTATAGTCTAAAAAAAATTTTTAATCAAAAAGCCACTTTTGTAGCTTTTTCAAAATATATATATATATATATAGGACTGCACAGCGGCAGTGTAGGCACAGCTTACACTGTCAGCTTTGTCACTTGTTCCATCAATGAACATTTTACGATTTTACCCCTTGATAGCAATTTTAAAAAATATTTTTTTAGGGACAAATTTGTCATTTTAATTTCAAACATCATTTCAACACATTTTTTAATACAGCAACTCAAATAAAATCCATCTTATCTTCCCAAACACAAAAACTAAAATAGCCTACTAAAATAGCCAAAAAGCCAAATAGCCTACTAAAATAGCCACTTCCCAAACGAGGCCTTTTTGTATCAATATTCTCGCGGGTGTTTTGGGAAGTTGCTAAAAAATTGATTTTTGTCTTTTTATCAAGTTTTTTGGCTTTTTTAAAAATGATTTGGAAAGTTGGTAAAAAGTTGACTTTTTTTATTTTTAGTTTAATATTTTTTAAAAGTGTCACATCACTCCAAAATGACCAAAATATCCTTACTTTTTGATTTTTGAATGAATTAATTAAAATGTTCCAGAGGGTAATTTGGTAAATGTGGGTGCTGCGTTTTTGGGTCTTCCCAAATGGGATTTTCTGCGTTTTGTGTGTGTTTGGCATTTTGGGAAAGCTCTCAAAAAGCTGCGTTTTGGGAAGGTTGCCAGAACGACACTCAGTCTTTAATTTTGATAACATGATAATATATAAATATGGGAATGGAAGATAAGACAATAAGTGAGATAGATGATTCGTGCTCGGCCCAACTTCAGTTTTTCCACCAATGAAGTCTTGCCACATGGAGCCTCAAATAAACATATAAATATAAAAAACACAAAAATATAAATAAATAAATAAAATTGATAAATTACATTGATCTCTTTTTGAGATTTAAAGAATACACAAGTATAAATGGTAAACTATATTAATCGCCCTTGAGATTTAAGAAAGAAAAAAGAAAAAATACAAGTAGCCCCACAACTTTAGCAAAATTACACCAATCTTCCTCTTATAGTAAAGTTAAAAGAACTGAAACTATGTAACTATTGTGAAAACACAAATCTAAATAAGTGAAAATAAATATTTCAATGCTAAAAAAATGACAAACATTATTTTTTCCCATCCATATGATTAATGAATTATTGATGAAAAAGAGACTAAGTGTCATGTGAATTAAAACTTTAAGGGAACTTAATGTAATTATATCAAAAACTGTAAAACTTGCTATATTTTCTTCAAATCTAAGGAAAAATCCGTGTAATTTACCCAAAACTAAAAAATAAATAAATAAAAAATACATCTCTTTTGATAATTAATTCCAGCTTTCAAAAAAAAAAATTTAAATACAAAAAAGTTACAAAATCAACACAAAAGGATGTGGCTATTTGAGTTTTTCTGCAGAAATGCTATGTACCAATAAAAAAGAATAATGATATAAAAACATAAAAACCTTACATAATGATGCAATATATTTGTATTCATACATTTTAAACCAAACAACCCATCAAAGCAACTTATTAATTCAAAAATATTATTTCCACATTATTCTCGTAGAATTTTATTTTTCATAGAAAATATCAAGAAAAATGTCTAAAATTTGAATGTGTACAAATTTAACATGGTGTGGTGCATACCACATTCTCAAAAATCTTATCAACATATTTCAAATTATGTATGCCCAAAAATGATATATTTTCCGAGTACGTAGGGTTATATTTTTTTACACCTAAACTTCCTCATTCTGGCCATCATGTCCACATTTGCCCAACTCATGTCGACATAATGGCACTATGTTGACCATAAATATCACATTGTTACACTATATAAGCCTCAAGAATGGTCATCATTAAGGCAAAGCCAATGGTCCATTTTGTTTTTGTTTTTGTTTTTTCTTGCGTATAGTACTAGAGCTCTCATTTCCATTTTTTCTCCTCTTCTTGTCAAAATTCATGTATGAGATGAAGTTGGATCTTTTGCCACAAGATTGCATAGGTTACATTCTATCATTTGCGTCTGCTCGTGATATCTGTCGGATGTCCCTTGTCTCCCCAGCTATGCGAGTGGCTTCTGAATCTGACATTCTATGGGAGAAATTTCTTCCTTTAGATTATGAGGAGGTTCTCTCAAGATTAGTCTCTCCAATTGTGTTCAAATCCAAAAAAGAGCTATTTCTTAAGCTGTGTAATCCAGTTCTGATTGATAAGGGTGAAAAGGTTAATTCACTAGCTCATCTGGTTCACTCTCGATTTAGAATTCTATGCATCATCCATAACCAATCAACGCCAATTATTTTTAATCATGTGCCTAAAAATGTCATACTTCTACTTTGGACTAGGGGTGTAATTTTGGCTTGGCTCGGCTTATCCGGGTTCAGGCCGGGCCAGCCCAATGCCGGGCCTTGCGGGCTTTCGCAAAAAAATCAGATCGGGACGGGCCAGTCTACGGGCCAGAAAACTAGGCCCAGGCTCAGGAGTATTCGGCTTTTGGGCGGGCCAGGCCCCTGAGCTTGCACTTGGGCTCGGGCTTGGGCGGGCCTAAACAATTTTTTTTTATTTTTTCCATTAAAAATAACACTGGGCATCGAGCGGGGCGGGCCTTGGGCCAAATTTTTGGACAGGCCTTAAGCGGACCAATGGGCCGGGCCCATGGAGCCGGGCCGTGCTTCGAAACGATGACCCATGCCCAAGGCCTCGGATTGGGCTTGAACTTGGGCCTAAACGGGCTGGGCCCACCTCGGGCCGCCGCCGGTCACGGGCCAAAATTACACCCCTACTTTGGACCTTCCTTTTTCTGATAACTTGTTTCTCTTTTTCATTTTTCTCTTTGCTGCATTTATTATTATTAAATATATATTGTTAAACTCATTTCCAATAGCAATCTGACTTGTGCTATAGTTCTGAGAGATCAATGTGTTCAAATTTTGTCACAATTGTCATTTTTCTATCATTGTTTTGTTAGTCAATTTGTCTTTCCAGATATAAAACGATACAACTAATGATCTTATGCATTTTAATATAAATATGGATAATTACACAAGTCGTTCTCAAGTATGCACTTGATTTGATTTTTGTCCATAATATTTGATTTTGTCAATTTGATATCTAAATTGCAAAATGTGAGTTTAAATAATTTTCAACGCTTATGCTGTATTAATTAGTTAACGAAATCTAGGATATTTTTGAAACTAGACATAAATATGCAACAAAATTAAAAGATTAGGGATAAAATATAACTATGTGCATACTTTGGAGATTATGCATGTATTTTATCATTTTAATTTTGTTAAGAATTAATGTAAATTTAAAAAAAAATAAAATCCCAACTTTCATTAATCAATTTGGACATTGCAAATGCTAAGAACCATTCAAAGCCAAGTCTTATAATTTGAACCAACGGGGCCAGGGGTGAGATACTGGTATGTTTGGTTTGAGTTTGGGAGATGAGTTTTAAAGATAAAAAATACGAAAAGTTATTTGGTTTGGTTTTTTTCAAAAGATGTTTTGGAAAATTATTTTGAGAGAGAGTTTTGAAAAAAGTGGTTGATTTGATGTGTATGAGAGAGAGATTTGTTTAGAAAACTTGTAAACCAAACAAGTTTTGAGAATTTTTTTTGGAAAAATTTGTTTGGTTTGATTCCTTTTGAAAACTTATTTGTAGAGAATTTTTTTTAAAATTTTTGAGAAACACAAACCAAACAAGGCCCAAAGGCAAGAGTTGAAGAACATTGGCAGTGCTTCTTTGGCTTCAATCTATACAACATGTTACTTGTTACAATTACCGCTTGGCGACTTTTCTTCCACACCCCTTAATGCTATATTTGGTTGAAAGATTTGAGTAGGAATTTAGAAAGGAAAATGGAAAAGATAGGTAAAATGTGAATAAAATATACTTGTATTTCACCTACTTTCTCACACAGCTTAAGAATAGGCTAATATATATATATATATATATATACACCTTGTATTTGAATCCTTTAAAAAATGAAGTTTTTATAATTTGAAGATTAAATTGACAAAACTAAAATATTAGGAATTGAAGTACATACTTTAAAAACTATAGGTGTAATTAGTGATAATGGTGTTGTGCTTTTGTTTTATAATACAGATGCTGTGGTTAGATAAACTAACAGGCAAAAAAAGTTGCATGTTAAGTGCAAGAGAGCTTTCAATTACATGGGCTGATCATCCTCTCTACTGGTCTTGGAAACCCCTTCTTCAATCTAGGTTTGTATTAGTTCATTATTCCTCAACATTGTTTTTGTTTTCAATATCTATTATATGAAATTGGTTCCAAAATTTACGAAATTTTTGGTGATAGCATTTTTATGTCTACAATCTCGTGGCTAGTTGGTCATAAACTTTTCATGGGAAAAATTAGTTAAATTAAATATCATGTTAATTTCCATTCCAACAGATTTGCTGAAGTTGTTGAGCTCATATCCATTTGGTGGCTAGAAATCAATGCCAAAATCAACACTCGAATGCTATCACCAAACACATCTTACAAAGCCTACCTCATCGTAAAATTTGCTAATCGTGCTTATGGGTTAGACTCCCTCCACTCGAAGGTATCCGTTGAAGTCAGTAACTACCGAACGAACAGAACAATTTACCTTCGCCACCCTGATCGTAAAATACAATTGTCCGAGCGTCTTTACACATTGTCAAGTGTTTACACAGGCAATGAGGATACGGTTCCGTGCAAACGAGAAGATGGATGGCTAGAGATTGAATTGGGTGAATTTTACAATGATGGAAGTGAGGACGAAGTGAAAATGAGCCTAAAGGAGGTAAGTGGTGCACATTTGAAAGGTGGACTCATTGTTGGGGGAATTGAGATTAGACCCAAGAAGGAATAATGTATTAACTTATAATATTGGTTCTTCTTTGCTTTGCATCATTTGTAACTTCATTATGAAATGTAATGTCTTATGGGTAAAGGAACTAACCTTAGTTCTGTATAATGAGGTGGTTTGACAAAATTTTCTCACAATTAAAAAAGCTATTTACCAAAAACAAAACAAAACACACATCAAATTCAGCTTTAGAAAAATTAGGTTTATTATGAGTTTTTTGAAGTGAAAGTAAATCAACTGAACATCTAGAAAAATTTAGGATAAATTATATATACACCCAAAAATTTACTTAAAATATTATAATTGTCCCTTGTAAATTTAAAAATTATATCTCATCCCTTAATTTTTTTAATCGCAAAACAAGTAACCCTTTTTATAAATCAACCACTAAGTCAATTAATAATTTTCAATTATATTAGCAATATATTTCAATTAACAATTCCTAATGATTTCATTATGGTATTAGAAGATATTTAGAATCTTATTTTTTCTAGCAACCTTGTTAAAAGACAAATTTTGACATAGAGATATTTATAATTTTCAAAACCACATTAGGCGATCTATATATTAAACAAATCTCATGCGGGTGTATTTATAATTTATCCAAAATTGTACTAAGCACACACATTTGGGGCAGCCACTACAAACTCCAAATTTTCAACATTCACTTGGGGTTTGTTTAGTGCAACTTTTTGGGAGCTACAACTGACAATTAAAAAATAAAACCAAAAACATTTCTCCCAAACTAGCCAATAATCAACTACTTCTTCTTCTTCTTCTTCTTCTTCTTCTTCTTCTTCTGTTTTAATAGTTTATTTAAACTATTTTATCTTTTCCATCAAACACTTCAGCATAAATTCTCAAAAAATATATAAATTACACCAAAGTGTCATTATTTCATAAGGTTTTTCCACTTTCATTGCAAAATGTTTAGATTATCCCATATGAATTCCATTTTTTTCCTTTTTATATAAAAATTATGTAAATTCTCAAAAATATATATATATAAAAATTAATAAATAAGCTGCACCAAACAGGGCCATTATTTCATCAGATTTTTCCAGTTTCATTGCAAAATGTCTAGATTATCCCATATGAATTCCACTTTTTTCCTTTCATATAAAAATTATGTAAACTCCCACAAAATGCACAAGTTTTCTAAATGCTTTTTTGCCGATTCAACCAGACCTTATTCCAGTTTCTCACCATATTTTCAATCATATACAAACCATCTTCTACAATTTGTGAAATCAATCCTCCATCGCCTGATGCATAACTATTGTTGTTATTATAATTCATCGGATTATCTTCTTCTTACCATTTTTTATGATAATAATGGACTTGTCTTACATATAATAATCTCAAAGCATGAACTTAATCCCATCTAATTTTGCAACCTCTAGCCCTCAGGGTCTCAAGTATCTCGGGAGAAAGCAAGAATCCAAAAGAAGTAAGCAACTTCACCTTTTTTATTCGGACGCAGCAGGCACGAAGCGCGAGCTCAAGCCCTTTCACTGACACATTCGTGAGGTTCACGAGCTTCGCATCTTGTAGACGGGTCAAATTTCCCATCAGCATGCACAGCCCGACGTCTGAGATTGTGCAATAGCTTAGATTTATCTGCCACCAAGAAGTTTAGTTCAATATTTATAATATAAAAAAAATAATAAAAATAACTTATTTCCGGTGAGAAAAAATAATCAGCTATGAAATTGCGTGTCAAATTGTCAACAAACTCGGAAATATGGAGAATTTGAGACCATACCAGATAACAATGAACTTTCAAGATTGATAACCACTTAACCCTAAAAATGAATTTCGAGGGACGTTATTGTTTCTTTTCACATCCCTTATTATTTTTTTAATTAAATAGTTTTTAAAATTTAGTAATTATTGGAACATGATCAGCAGCAATCAACTGGGAATTCATACCCTAAGAAGCACGATAATTCTAAGAAGGTGGCTTTCTGTGTCAGACACCAACGCTCATATAAATGGGTCCTATTTTTAATTTTTTTAAGGACCCAGGCATGCTTCAGACACTTGGAGGAGAGATGTGTCTATTGCTTAGACACATATGAAACTAATTGTAAATTTGAACAAATATAGAAATTAGTGTCATGTTGCAATTTTCCTATTATCTTTGAATGATTGGTCTTTTGATAATGTGTGCCCTTAGGGCACATTACAATCCTTTTAAGCTTCTTTACATATGCCCTACGGGCACACCTTAACAAAATCTTGAATGATATATTCATTCACATATATGCCATGTAACAAATATATAAAGGTATATATTTTATTTTACGTGTCATGTCCTGTATTTTTTAGAAAGGGGAACTTACATATAGATCTTAATAAGTGGACTTTATTATCCAATAGGTCCTATGATAATTAGTAACATTTTTCATCAAACACTATTAAAAAAAAGTCAATGATTGTTAATTTTTAGTGACAGTCTGAAAATTGTCACTAAAAATGTCACTAATTATAAATTTTAACGATAGTTTAAAAAAATCGTCACAAAAAAAATTGCTAATTTTTAACTTTTAAAGACTGTTTGAAAATTTTATCACAGAAAAACGTCACTAATTGTAAGTTTTAGCGACAATTTATAAATCGTGACAAAAAAAAGTCACTAATTGTTAATTTTTAGCGACATGTGCAAAAAATAGTTACAAAAAATTACTTACTAGGATTTATTTTTAATAGAATTTGATGGAAATTAAGTCCAACTATAAGCAAGACCTATTGGTCGTTTACCCTTTCAAAAATTGTCATGCCTCTGTCAGTATGCTCATGTTCCTTCGTTCATACCTTCAGGCAAGAGCTAAACCCCCTATATTTTATGGGATTACTGGTACCTGGAGGGACTAACTATAAGTTCCAACTTCCATGGAATCTCGCGAATGAAGAACGGAACTACTCCTAACTCCAAGAATACATAAAGTCCCAGCCTAAATTTCCAGACAACCAACATGGCCTTACTGTGTCTGGTTCTTTTATTTACATAATTACATGTAAAAACATCACATATATTGTGCACGTGCATGTGTTGGGAAGAGCCATAAAAGAAAATTTTCCGTTGAAAAGCAGGAAACCAAACCTGTCGTAAATTCCTCGAGTAGTAGGCAAGAGCCCAGAATCCCGAATCATTGATGTACTCACAATGTTTAAGATCCAATTCCGAGAGGCTTTTGCACCCAGCTGCAACTGCTGTCAAACCCGTGCTTGTAATCTTCACAATACCACGCAATTCCAAGTCCGAGAGTTCCTTCAGATGGCTCAAGTATTGCAGTCCTCGGTCAGTAACCTTGTTGCAATAAGACAAATTTAGCTTCTTCAACTTCTTGCACCCACTTGATAAAGCAGCTAATCCATCGTCACCAATTCCCATACAGCTGAAACAAAATTATAATGGAAATAGAGCATAAAATAAAAACAAAGATGGGTAACTGTTTTAAACTAAATGTAAAATGAGGTATTGGATCAAGTTACCGGTATAGGTCAAGTTCATGAATCTTTTTGCAGTTTGAAGCAAAATAAAACAATCCCTTGTCTGATATGTTCGTACAAAGTCCTAATTTCAAGCATAAAAGCTCTGAACATTTGGACAAATAATTGAGTCCTGCAGAAGAGAGAACAAATTAAAAAAGAAAAAAAAAAGATCACATTTAAATTATGAACTTGCTCAAAGTGCCAAATGTAGTGGAAGATTGGAGAGGTCAATGCACACACAACACCAAAAAGTATGTTACAGATATGCATATAAAAATTATGGTTCATTACACTTTACCCCCTCAATTACCATTGAATATAATCTTAACCCCTCAACTATAAAAATAGTTTCACTTTCACATTCTCTAGATGGATGTATATAATCCTAAAATTTAGGATCTGGAAACTATTGAATTATACATAATTCCTATAGTAGTTAGGATTATGGAAAACCATACAAAATTTAGACCACTTAAAAGTTTACCTGCATCATTTACACCAGAGCAATCCGTGAGATCAAGCTCCTTGAGTAGCAAGGAACACGATCCAAGGCTTTCAAGACTCTTCTCCGTGAGCAAATTGCAAGACTCTAACTTAAGGCATAAAAGATTCCTACAAGAATAGGCTATTGCTGAAATTGCCACATCAGTAATAGAATCACAGCATGTCAGATTGATGATCTTCAAATTTGGATTGGCAGACACTAGCAGCATTAGGCCCATGCCCGTCACTCCTTTGCATTTGCTCAAGCCAATATCAACCAAAAACTTGCAATTGGTGCTGATGATTTGGAAGCTAGAGTCTGAAACTCGAGCCCCGTCAACTCTTATTGTATTGAGATTCTTCAATTCTTTCAACCAGCGGAGAAGGGTCGCGGAAAGTTCCTGGTGCATTGCAAATTTTGGATTTAAACCAAAATAACATCACAAGTGAAGAAAGAGTGATTATATGGCCCGAATGGAAATTTACTCACAAAAAAACAAAAACCCGCATATAGCTGCCGCAGATCTCTATGTCCTCTAACTACTGAGACTAAGCCAGATGAACTGACTTTGTCACACCTTGATACATCCAGAACCTGCAATTACAGCAATGATCCATTAACAGAAATCTAAAATATATCACAGTAATTTTGTCGTGACATGTTTAATTTGTTTCTATTGCTCATTTGCCACCCATTTATATGCATGAACAACATTTTGCACCAATGTAATATATACAGAGATGTCAATGTTCTTAATGGAAGTAACATATCAAGAGGCGAATTGAGTTTTCATGGTGAAAATCACATCTTTGGCCAAGCACAATCTAACAATTTGCCAACTACTCTAGCGATACATTCAATAAATGAAGGATAGTATCAAATGGCTTAATGAGTTTTTCTTCTTTCTTTCCTTTTACAGAAAAATATTGACAAGTCAATGATTTGATCCGTAGGCAATAGCCTTCATTCTTTGGAAAAATGTCAATACACTAAACAATGATCCATTCATTTATATCACATAAAATTTATTGTAAAATTAGTATTTCTGCACCTATATTTAACATAAAATTTATTACAAATGATGAAAAGATCTCTACATTGAAAATCCCTTTTGGGGTTGTTAGGTTGAAGAAGATACATAGGAAAAGAAATGAAAACTTCAGGGACCAGAGAGTGTTTTCTAACAAAGAATACAAGTTTATCATATATTTCCTTATTGTGAGTTAGTAATCAGAAGAACATGAGCGAAATTTCTTGAAAACCTAATATAAAGATAATAAAAGCAACACATAGCTAAAATATTAAAGTCAAGCATGTTTCAAAAAAGGGCTACCACCAACTCCTAATGGGGGTAACGTCTCCACTCTAGAAGTGTGGTTCTACGGTTCATAGTAAGACTCTTGTCAGAATCTCATTCCTGTCAAAATAAAATTGCATTTCCAAATGGGATGGATCCACTCAAACATGAATATCAAAGAGAAGCTATCAGCATGAAAGAAGAGTAGTAGAGAATATATATTTATCCTAAATTTTGACTTTCCTTTTAGGAATTAAAGAATGAAATTTTTCTGATAAATCTTTCACATTGGGTTAATGAGGATCGACGAACAAAGATATATATGATTAGTGATGATTATAGCTTTTATAATGAGAATTTCTACACCTATATTTAACAGTTTAAGAGCTAGTATAACACAAACATTTAAAGTAAAGATTAGAACTAAGGAAAAATTATTTCTAATAGTACATTTATACTAGCCTCTTCATACACACAATGAATGCAAGTAACCACCAGGAGAACGTGAAGTTTAGAAACTACCTCTGAGTTTGATAATTATAAGTAATTGTGGAGGAGTTTACAGTTCTACCCTTCAAAAGTTTACAAGAACTCATTTCAACTTTAAAAAGGTAACTTTTCTGTAATAATTCTAGAATAGGATAAAAAAAAGAAAAAAGAGAAAAGTTTTACACAACTTCGTTCACGCAAATGGAGCTATTCCCCTCATTCACCCAACCTTAAACTCTTCCATGTGTCCCCACCCCCAAAAGTGTGACATTTTAGCATCAATGCTAAAACGTTTGAAATGGCATCACACTAGAAGCATGTTAATGGATCAAATTATACCAGCAGAAAATTTTCAGAAATGAAATACACATATCCAAATATTGTGCATTGTAACAACGTCAAACTGTCATATTGAATTTTGAAATTCCTTTTGTATCACTTTTTTCATTTTCTTTTAGCCCTAATAGTTTATTTTTCATCTTTGTTGGTTTAAATACTTGTTATAGAGAACTCTCTTCATACTATAAATTTCACAAGGCTAAAGTTGGGCAGTTAAATGAAATTCACACTCATTATTTATGTGTATGCATGTAATCTACACTTGCACATTCTTGCACTCACAATCAGCTCATTATCAACAATTTTCTTAATCACAAACACAAAATAGAAATATGAAAACAAAATCACAAAAACTGATGACAGACCATTTTTTAATGAAAACTAATTGGTGGATTTGATTAGCATATTATCCAAAATCCAAATGCTCATCACAGACCAATTTTTAATGTTCATCAAAAGTTGAAAACAACCTGAAGTGAAGGACACCCATTTCCAAGAAACCTTATGCCATCATCATCCACCAAACCACACCCCACCATTACCAACACCTCCAGCTTCTGCAAAGTCCCAATCGATCGAAGCGACTCACTCGTCACCTACAAACAAGCCCACCCATCAATCTCCGCATACAACACACTATACCCAATAAGGTATCAAAATTTTAAACTTCTGACACCGATATTGATGGATATATCAGTACATATAACTGTATAACCAATATAATTAAATAAAGCCCAAGATTTTGAACTTCTTATACCAATATTTTACTGACATATAGAAGATTTTGTACTTTTGATGCTAATAACTACCAAATCAAACCAAGCCTTTTATAAGTCTCATAAAATGGGTCTACTATATGAATCCTACTTCTCCCACTAGACCACTACCGACCAATATATATATAAATGTATTGCTTGTTGCTGATATATAGATATGTAACATCATAATATACACAGGGTTAGAGAGAAAGAGACAGACTACCTTTAGATATGAAATGTCAAGATGTTTCAAGTGTGGACATTTCTTGGACATCAAATCAATCCCAAGATCAGAAATCTCCAAACACCATTTCAAACTAAGCCTCTCAAGCTTTTCACACCCAACAGCTATCTTAGCCAAACCAACGTCCGTCACACCCAAACATTTATCCATCCTCAGATCCCTCAGCCCCGCCGCACATGACAGTGCCGCCGCCTCCCTATCACCGAACCCACAACAAAACGACACGTCCACCGCCTCCAAACCCGGACACGCCCGAACCATCATCTCCAACCCGGAAAATCTCAACCCGACGGCCCGGCTCAGCACCAGCCTCCTCAGCCTCCGGGTCCAGCCCCCGCCACAACCCAGTAAAACCGCCACCGCGCCGTCGTCGATCCGGGGACAGACTGAGAGATCGAGGGCTGAGATTTCTGGGTATTTTCGGAGGAGAGCCGGGAGGAATTCCGGGCGGAGGACCCGGAGGGTGGTGCGGTGGAGCGAGTCGACTCGGAGGAAGGATTTGCAGACGGAGCGGAACGATTTGCGGTCCGAGTCGTCGGCGAGTTGGTCGAGGACTCGGAGGAGGAGGTCGTCGGTGAGGAGAGAGAGAATTGGAGGGGACTCCATTGGGAATTGTGGGAATGGGAAAGAGTAGGGGTTTTTTGCAAAAATTATTATTTTCTAGGTGGGGACGAACAAGAAGTAGAGCAAGTTAAGGTTGAGACCCAGAGATGAGTTGGAGCGAGACGGATCGAAACGAAACACTTTCATTGTTTCGGTCGACAAGGGTTTTTTCGGTTTCGGAAGGTTGTCGGATAGCTTCAATGTACAACTCGTACTTGCAGAGCAAGGTTGAAGTTACATAGAGAGAAAGTGAGAGATTAGATAGAGAGAGAGAGAGAGAGAGAGAGATATGGTGGAGTGACGTTTTTTTAATCTACGGTGTATCAATTTATGAGTGGCCGGTCATTGGTTGCCCAAATTCGGAAATGGTCACGTGATATGGCACGTGACTACAAGTGTTGAAATGACTAAAATGGTACACGCCTTTAGTTTTTAATTTTTCATAATTTTTATAAAAAAAAAAATAATTACAAATTAGATATACTCTACAATAAGAATTACTTATACATAAAAAAAATTATGATTTTAATAATTAAAATTTATAAATTTTATAATTATTTTGAAAAAACAATGAATAATACAAAAGAGTAGTATTTTTTTTTTTGTATTTAATGAATTTTTTTCAATATTTTTTATAAATATTTTACTTTTTCAATATATCTAAATTAGATGTATTTAAAAAGTAAAAAATTCATATTAAACACATGAAAAAATGAACTAAAGCAAATAAAAATTTTAAAAATAATTTTCAAAAACTAAACCAAACTGAGTATCACTTATATTTGGACATTAGATCAGTTTCTCTTGTCATTATTAAACAATTTTATATTTAAATTTTTAAATAATTTGATGAATACAATTAGTAAAAATTTGTTTAGCAATAATTGAATGTGAGCTATTTAAGTATGAAGAATATTTTTTAAAAAATTCACACATAATGGAATGTATGTTTAATATAGTAAAATAGATAAATAGTAATGTCAAAATTATAATATGCTATGTTATAATATTGAAATGTTAAATTTTGATAATATTGTATAATTTATGTAAATATCATTTTCACACATTTACACTATTATTTATTTATGTCTAATCGACACTTTCATGATCTTTTTTTTTCCTAATAGATGAACATATGATGACTTTATTTTTTATTGGTAGGTGGATATACAATCATATAATATCACAACTACCACATATTTTCTACTATATAGATAACACGTCGACAAATAAATGGATATATAGATGGCGTATGTAGATAAGTGGATAGATAGGTAACGTGCACATATTAACAAATATGTAAAAGTAATATGATCTTTTAATACCCACCCAAAAAATATGATATTTTAAATTGCTTTATACTTTTGAACCCAAGAGAATAAAGCTTATAACTGCTGCTCTAAAAATTTTGAAATTAAATTTAGCCTTATCGTGAGCAGTAAGTTAAAAGTTTATTTATTTATTTATTTGTTTATTTTGACGTTCAAAAAAAAAGTGCAAAAAAGTAGAATGTGATATAATCCAAAAAAGTCATAAAACTAAAAAATTAACTTTTAACGGTATTGTCAAAATAGGTCTTAAAACCCCAATCCTCTTTAATAAATCTTATAAAATTTTTATTATGCATTATGCGATAATGTAATTTCATAAAAATAGGAACAAGATTCATTTTAATAATATGATAGGTAATACAAAATAAATACAAAAATCTTTTAAAAAAATTGTCAATTTAGGTTGGATTGTTATGCATTATGCAATTTCATAAAAATAGGAACAAGAGCCATTTTAGTAATATGAATACAATAATAAATACAAAAATAAAAATTAAAAAAAATTATCAATTTAAACTGGATTAATTTTTCAATAATGATGGAGAAATATAATAAATGTACCAACAAACATAATACAAGATATATGTATTGATTCACTATTTAACATGTAGTTGTAACTATTATTTTTAACCAACATGTAACTATTATTAATTATTCTATTTAGTGTTATTTTAAAAAAAAAATGGGGGGGGAGAGGAAATATCAAGAGGGTGTTTGGGACTAGTTAAACAAATATACTTTTTAATTTTTTTATAAAAAATGTATAAAAAAATAATATAACTAAAAAAGATAAAATAAAAATAAAAAATACATTTTTGTAAATGATGTCAAATAGTGGCGAACTATTCATTATTATTTTTTTCTTTCTAAAATTGAACAGATGCTTATATATCCATTATGAGGGGTATTTTAGAAAGAGCACTCACAAAAAAAGGAATGAATTTGGAGAAAGTGACCCTAAATCGTTGGATAAGAATCACGTAATAATCCAACGGCAACCGGACAAGAGAGAGAGAGAGGATGGAGATGTGGTGGTGGGTGAGTTAGGTCATTGTTTAGTGAGTGGGGCTGGGGTCGTGGTACGTGATCGTATAAATCAAATGAAAATGAATGAGGGAATGAATAAAGGGCGGTTTATGAAAAAGGGGGGCGCGAAGCTTCTGGGAAAGCGGGGGTTGCGGAGAATACTATTTTTTGTCCTTTATTTTATGAATAATAAATTTATACGGACTAATTGATACATCAATTAATATATTAATAGATAATATAATATAATTTTAAAAATTTTATGTCTTTATAATTTGTATAATAAATGAGATTTATAATTTTAAAATAATAATATTAAAATATATATTAATATATTAATTGATGTATTAATTAATCGTGTAGTATCATTCTTATTTTGTTTTTGTTTCTGGGAGGGGTCCGGGTACGGGATGCGGGTCCCACTAACGTGCATCGACCGTACCTATCTCCGTCCGTTCATTCATTCAATCAATATATTTCCCTAATAAAGTCCGAGAGAGAGAGTGTATGTGTGAAGACTGTTGTTGTGACATAATTGACAAAGAGGTGGGGTGGGAACCACGAGAAATTATTGGTCAAAACACTTCTTAAACATTTGGGAAGCCTTTGATTTACTTTTTAAATTATGATTTAGATCAAATACGTTAATTAAATATAGTTTTAAAATAAGTTCAACAATTAAAAACATAACTCAAGTAATAAATTTAAATTTTAAATTTTTTTTTGAAAATATTATTATTTTACAGGTTTTTTCTGTTGTGAGTTGTGATTATATAAAATAATGTAAAAAATAAAGTGAGAGGGTAATTTTTGGGAAAGAATTGGGCCGAGCTGTGAGTTGGGCCCTGCGGCCCAAAGTGTGGAGGAATCGGTAAGAAGCCGTAATGTTATTTCGGCCCAGTAGAGGTATAGATACTCCGGCCCAGGAGAAGTGAAGTTATTCCGGCCCAGGAGAGGTGTGGTTACTCCGGTTCAAGAATGTGTAAAGCAACTCCGGTCCGGTGGCAGTTTGAAGTGAGTCCGGCCTTGCATTTAGTCCGGTTGTGACATATTATGGTTAGGTCGGTTAGAACTTGCTACTTGGAAGTTTTATCTAAACACACCATGGTTGAACAGGGGAAAGCCGAGATAAGGAGTTGGAGGAGAAGACCGAGTTAAGGACAGTTCGGCCTTCTCTGTGGCTCTGCGTAGCCAAGCTTATTTCGGTCATATAGTAGTTCGGCCAAAGTGAAAACCATCCCACTTGGTTTAAGCAGTGGGGGAGGGTGTAAAAGGATAAGCATTATCCTTAGGAGTATGAATCCTAGGAGGACTCTGCATGGAGAAGTAAGAGTCCTACTAGAATTATGCCACACGGAACCTATAAAAGCTCACAAACATCACCATGGAGGAGGTAATTGAACACAATCTTTCTGAGAATTTCTGACTTAGGCATCGAGAGGTTTCCGGCACACACCCCCGGCTAGCTCACGTTTGTGTTTTCAAGTGACAAAGCGACGTCGTACGGGGAGGCTGTGGACTTAGTCAACAGGATTATACGAGGAGAATTATTTCTTCCCGTACAATTGGCGCCGTCTGTGGAAGAACAGACAAGAACAAAAAACCTCTTGACTTAAGCTTCTCTTTTTCTCAATCAATGGCACACATTGAGAACTACCCAGTCCGCGGTCGACGGGCAACTCCAGACGGGCGCAAGGCGAGAAGGATTACCCCTCTGTCCCTCCTATGGCAATCTGGAGCCCAAAACATAACTCCAGGAGGAGTGGGCAGGGGAAGGCGGAATAGCAGCCCTCGTCACTCTCAAAGTCCTGACAGCCAAAGGAACGAAACAAGTGGAGTTCTGGGTATTGGAGGATTGACCCTCAAGCTCTGGAAGATCGCGTGAAAGAACAAGATGAATTGATAAGAAAGATGGCGGCGGACATGGAGGCCTTGAAACGCCAGATGAAGAAAAAAGAAGTGGCGACAGGAGAGGGGCGCAAAAACAAGACGCCCCCTCGCCACTCAGAAAATCGTAGTAGGAATACTACACCCTCGCAAGGAGAGAGCAGAAGCCTCAGGACAGGCGACACTCAATCCTGGTCTTCCAAAACTCGTCATTCCAGGTCTGAGAGGACGAGATCTGAGAGATCATACACTGAAGGAAGCACATATTGGCCTTCACATTCGCACCAAACCAGATCTAGACAGACAGAATTGCCCAGATCATCCGACTTACGAACCGTGCTCGAAACAAAGGCACGATGCAAGGAGGATGCCAGGGCAAGGGATCCACATAGAGTTTCAGCCTTGCAGCGGTTGGCTCCTCGGACGCATGGAAGCGTCGAGGTTGGAATGCCAATACCGCGCCCTGCCTATGAACCGACGGACAAAGCATTGGCACGACTACAGACTTCGCCGTTTGTTCCAGCAATCGAAAACGCCCCATACCATCAGGCTTCCTTCAGCCGAAATTCACCACACATGAAGGGAAGACGGACCCGTACTCGCACTTAAGCCACTTTCGCCAGGTCATGGCCGTTTATAGGCGAAACGAGGCCCTAATGTGCATACTCTTCCCATCAAGCCTTGGCGACCTAGGCTTGACTTGGTTCGAGAAACTCCCAGAAGGCAGCATAGCCTCTTGGGCACAATTAGCAGAAGCCTTCGTAACAAGGTTCCGAACGAACACCAAAACCCCGGTGGAGATCGACCATCTTCTCTCCATCGACATGGGTGAAAAAGAGACCCTCAGATCTTACAACAGTCGCTATTGGAAAACATTCAATCAGATAGGGGACTGCCCCACCAATCTCGCCATTGCACAATATAAAAGAGGCCTTCAGTTGGGAACAGACTGAGGGACTCGATTACCATGACGCCACCCCTCACTATGGAAGCCCTGATGGAGAGAGTGCATCAGCACATCAGGGTAGAAGAGGATGGCGCACGTGCCAAAGCAAAATCTAGTGCA